GCACCCTGGCATGCGGAGATATGCACATGGGTCTGGGCACGGAGGCAAAGTCAGCCATGGCGAGAATAGTGTAGAGTGGTGAGTTGGTAAGAGATGAGATGTTGTATGTTGAAACAAGTCTAGTTAGCTTGGACTGGAATGCTGCCACAATGATGCACTCCCGGAAGGCCTCGTGACTGATAGCATCTGTTTAAAACACTAATTTTTTAAATGTGAAAGTACAGCTCTCTGGAGACATAGTCTGCTTATTTAATTTGAATGAAAATAGATATATTTTGAATTGGAACAAACTGTGAGAATAATGGTTTGTAAGTCGAAACACAATAATGTCATGTATTTAAATACCCATATGGTCCGTGTTATAAATATTGTTCCGTTCAACAAAAACGGTAAGCATTGTTAAACTAATAAATAATAAATTTTGTACACAATTGCACACAGACAGGGGCACTCCTGCGCCCGCATACACACAATCACTCACTCCCAGCGGGATACTGGAACTCATTACATCTCGTGGGTGATCGCTCCTCTTTGCAAGTGCGAGTTCACACATCGGAGAGTTAAAAAAAGTAAATATCTTATGGAAGCCCGTTCATAAGTGCGGATGTTCGTAAGTCTGGAGTTCGTAAGTCGGCAACTCCGTGCAACTCCCAATAGCAGCTGCAACCAACAGTCAGTGGCAGAGATCTTTGGTCAACACAATATTTCTCCCAGGTCTAAAATCGGTACTTAATTCAGAAGCTATACAGGGTGTTTGAAAAAGATGGACCCCATTTGAAATCGCTATATCTCTGCAACCACGAACCGCCTATGAATGAAACTCTTACCACTTGAAAGGGCGGGGCATAGAGTTTCAAATGATGACCGAGAGATGCCTCTCCCAGCGTACAAACAGCCCCTAGCCTCAGTCATTCGCAAGACACATTGCCTCAACGTCGGATAGGTCGCACAGGACCCCAAGACTTGGCGCTACAGTCTTGGCCACCAAGATCCCCAGACATCAACTCACCCTGCGACTTTTTATTGTGGGGATACGTCAAAGACCGTATTTTTGTGCCACCATTAGGGACTAATCTGGATGACCTCAAAAACAGAATCACCGCGTTTGGGACGAATTCAATTATCGTTTCGATGTTGTCCGTACAGCAGGTGAAGGACACGCAGAGCATTTAGAAAATGATTAGTAAAACTTGATAACTCATTAAATCGTTTGTAACTTTTTGTGTAATTGTAACATGTTGCTATCGTGAAATATACTGCTTTGGGTCCATCTTTTTCAAACACCCTGTATAAGTAGAAAATACAGTAGTATTTTAAAGCAATATTTAGTGGTAGTGTCTAATAATCCACTACTTGCCCTAAAACTTCAATCAAATTACTGTATAGGCATCTCGCTTAATGAGCGTTCTTACAATGATAATTCGCTATCACGAGCAATCTGAATTTAGACCAATTTGTTCGCAAAACGAGCAAAATGTTCGCTTACCGAGCAGAGACTGGTCGATTGAATGCGTCCCGTGGTAGCAGGGGGCGCTCGGCGGCCAGCAGATGTTTGTTTACCAATTCTGCTGTGCCCACATGTTTCGGTGTATGGGGGAGGGGGCCTCGTGGTCGCATTGTGATGGGTGGGTGAGGGGTGGTGGCTACTAATTCCAGACGCTGAGAATCGGAAGTCGCGCTCCATCTCGCATACCCACAACGTGGTTATGAACCCAGCAACCCTGGTTCGTTCCAAGCCACGGCTAACATCAGTGGCGAGTGGTATTTGAGCTAGCTGTCCTACATGGCCCCTGCTGCTCCATCCACCCACTAACATCTACCAATAAAGCAACATAAATGCCAGGCACCCACAAGCACTGTGGGTCTTCATCGGTGGTGTTACATTTGATATTTTATTACTTTATTTGTAAATTAGAATTTGTATTTATCACATTAAAAATGTTTTTGTTTAAGAGTGCAACATTTTGGTGCTAAAACGTAGCCCAGCTTTTAACATGGGAATTGTCAATGGGAAAACGATTATCATTTAACGAGTTTTTGTTTGCCGACAAATTTCTGATGAACGTATCTCGCTCGTTAAGCGAGACACGCCTGTACTGTATTAAGAATAATCTACTGGAAAAATGTACACCATAGTAATACATTACCGTACCACCGGATAAGAATAATCTTTTATAAGACATAATTCATTATAATCTGTCACGATCAATCCACTGCTAAATGACGACTTCCCACAGCCATTGTAGAGCCCCACATAACATATAACACGCAATAAGGTGTGCAGATGGGCTGCTGCTATTAGACGTTAAAGCACGACGTGCCAGGTCCCAGGAGTATTTCCTCCAAGATTAGAAAACCTGCTCTGAGAGAGCCAGTGTCCAACTGAAGGCCCACTTGGAGCCCACCAATCTGAGCCTCCCAGCATACTTTTTTGCTAAATCATGTTGCTTGGCTCAGATTTGGCGCGAGACAGCATCTTGCACGTGCACTGCAATTTATAGTGATATCATTGGTTGAGAAAACAATCTACACGTGTTTTTAATTCATGATCAGAATCTTTATTTAACCTGGAGAAATCTGATGCACTTCGAATATCTTTTTCACAAATGTTCAGTAGGGGTTGGTCAGAAAATGCCAACAAAAAGCACTACAAAAAAACGACAGTAGTGCAAAGTATAGTAAACGTCAGCACATCACTAGAAATGCAAAAAATATTTTAGCCAGTAAATCCACTGAGCTATTAGTTCTTTTTCAGAAGCGACCTAGCCAGAAATGACAGCTCAACGAAGTGGCTTATCATGTGGACATTTATAGCAGCCAAATACTCTAAACGCATGTTTCTAAACGTGGAGGTAAAAACCGGAGCACCCGGGAAAAAAATCCACGCGACCACGAAGAGAACACACACACTCCAAATACACTGCAGGCGTCAGGGTCGGGATCGAACCCACGAACACCTGCGTAATTAAAACCGGCTCCAGCTGGTTCTGGCTCGGGAAACGCTACACCCAACAACACAGCCCACGATAGTGATATAAGTGTTATAATGGTGGATTTAGGACCAGGCCTGCGTTTCTATGTGCAAACGCGTTATATTTCTGTTTGCAACCGAGAGGGAGAGTGATCTGGCTTACACGACCAGAGCCAAAATCGTGTAATTAGGTGTCAAGGGAAAGTACTGTGTGTGTTTGAAATAGTGTGGCCACTGGGTGTGCCTGAGTCGGAGCCAACATAGGGTATGCTTAATTCAGACGAGAACTCTTTAAAAAAAAACTAAAAGAGCGACTCTGGGAGTATCTGAGAGATGTGGAGCCGCCAAAAGATCGATTCGTCGCTGGGACGATACTATACACCAATTCCAACTCTCACCGTTCAGGAACGCAACAATCCATCTCGCACCTACACACGAGCTAAGGAACCGTCCATAAATGACGTCACGCACCTAGGGAGGGGGGTTCAGACATTTGTGACGATGTGTGACGAACGGGGGGGGTTGAGAAATGTGACGTCACATCAAAATGCGCAACTTTAAATAAATATAGACAACACGTTCTACTTAATTAAATAATTTGTTTTAAATACATGTTTTCGCCTACAACAACAGAATGCAAGGCCACATTAAATTCGCACTTAAATGACAATAGTTTCAAGCGATTAGAAGCATGTTTTATTTGGGGGGGGGCAGAGATTTGTGACGTCATATTTAAGGGGGTATCTGCCTTTTTGTGACGCCGCGTGATTAGGGGGGGGGGGGGATCGTCCAAAATCGCGTGACGTGATTTATGGACGGCCCCTCATATAATCGCTCAACCAATACTATTTGAATTATGCTTGTTTGCACAGGAAAGCCTCTCTGATTCTAATAACTTTTAGTAAGAGGGTCCTGCCATGTTTTCGCAGAAATGTGGTAATTTTGCGACTATTTATTTAAAAAATGTAAATTTGGACCATGACGCTGGCACGCAATTGCCTACTCTTGTGAATGACTTCACCGGATCTGTAACGTCCACTGTGCAGCAGATGGGGAGTACTTTTATGGTTAATACATTCGCAGTAATAACCAGGGCGGCCGTTGAACTGGACCATGAACCTCCACAACAAGCGGCAAATGCAATAAAGTTGGACCATCTCACAGGCGGAGCTGAGATGGTCGTTCTCTAAGGAGTGTTCCTTCGCCACTCCGACGTGAGTCTTGACTACAACGACCATCCATTCCAACGACATAGCATACCCAAGCAAAATTTTATTAACATGTTAATTGCACGGAATATACTTATGGGATGCAAGGACAGTTTTTAGTTATTTTACACATTTCACAATAAAGACTCCCCATCACATGGACATACTATGGCAGACTCTTGAGAATGGCTGCCACGTTCTAAAAATAAAACGCGTGTCTGGTTAACTATGTCGGGGAGCCGAATTCGACGCATCGTGCACACGAAGCTGGATATCTTAAACGACAACTACACCACTCGCCATTTCCAAAAGTGAACAATATGTCCACAATTAGTCCCACCGTTTCAGCTGCAACGTTGTTTAGTTGAAGCTCGGCATTGGACACAATTCAACCATTCATGTCTCCTCGCCTTACCCCACACACAACCACCAATTCGGATATAAGTTACAAAATATAATAAATTGTAATAAAAATCCGGGAGATCGCAGGCGTGGACGATCGAACAGCATGTCACACGCTCCTCCTATTTTTAGATGCTCACCTTCCAGAGTTTTACGAAGGAGATATTTATTTTTACTCAAATGTCTCACCTGCCCACTCTCGTTCGCCCACATTACACCGCAAGCTTTCACACCCACCCACCAGCCGCCGTCGCCGCCAATGAGGTCGTGCAGCAGCGGTGGTGGGGGCTGGGTGCCGGTGGGAGGGCTGCTGGAAACTATGGTAACCTCTCAGGGTTCCACCCCTGCTGCACGCTGTATGACGTCAATACCATACAGAGATTTTTTTTCCTCGACCCCCCCCCCCATTCACACTGGCAGCAAAATGGCGTTTCCTTTGGCTCGAGTTCACTGCGAAGTTGCCGCGGAGCTATGATTCTCCGCGTTGCTGCTGGGCTGGGAGCAAGCAGTGAGCGCGGCGGCGGCGGCGACGACGGGCAACGCAGTGACCGTGATCGCCGCGCCCGGAGACAATGTCTCTGCTCTGCGTGAAAGGTGAGCAACGCGGGCGGCCGGAGCGGCTTCTTCGCGATCCGGCTGCGGCGATTTCAGCACCTCGGACAGCGCCGTGGTGCGTCCGGCAGCAAGCCTCACTCTCGTGCTTAAGGTCCCACGTCGACACGATGAAGAAGACGATGATGATGATGATGGTGCTTCTCTCCGTTCGCTCACAGCTCCTGCTGCTGTTTATCCGCCTCCTAGAGCCACTGTGATGCCTCTGTTGACTTATTGTGGCATGGGCACGGCTGGCGGCGTGCGGACCGTTTCGCTAGAACACGACTGTATTTGTATTCACTTATGGCCTGTGTATATGTCAAGCGTTCCGTGTATCACAAGACTATTTGCCAATGACTTTTTCCTAGGCTCGGTAACGTGCCTGTCAGTGCGTTTTAGCTCGAGTGAATTACAACGAAGTACATATTCGTGCCTACGTAAGAAGACTCCACGATGGCATGATCTCCTGTTTTCATTTTGAAACCAGTGCACGGGGTCCTTAATGGTTGTTGTAGTTGGGTATTAATAGCCGCGTTCACGCCCGGTGTTCCGCATGACTGTGCTGTTTGATGTGAGACTGCTTTGTGAAATTTGACTTCGCATTTTTTACATTGAGACTGTCTTATCATTCGTGTGCGTGTAAAATGTGTATTTTGGACATTTTTGTTCGCGTGTGCTGGAGTGTATGCCATTTATCAAATGGAATATTAAATATAATGTAATTTTAATTAAAGTCGTAATCATAATTTAAAGTTCTGAGGTATAGCTGGACCCAGTATTGGTCTCGTCAGACCCGTGCTGGATTCTGCCAACTGTGTTTAGCGATATGCGCTTATTGCTTTGTTAATGGAAAATCAAATAAACGCAGGGGTACTGATCTGGCTATTAGAAACAATTTTTAAATTTGTGAGACAATAAAGTGTATTAATGTAACCCCAAGAACCATAAAGGGAGCTTCATGAAAAATAAAGACTCAGAGTTAACGCGTGACTTCCTTTTATGTGTTGACACTGTCACGTGCTCTGCAATACATCCCATGAGCTAATCATAAAAAACTACAACTGACAACACCCAAATGTGTACATTTCAATCATCCTAGTTATTTTGAAAAAAAATCCGCATAGGAATGCATCACTTTTAGAATGTTATTTGTATATAGTGTCTGTGTGCACGCAAATCCGCGTTTCTGCCAAATAGTTCTCATAAATTATAGTACACATCTACAAGGCTCTTATGTACGGTAGTGACCCATTCCAAATGAAGTGAACACTTTTAACACTAATATTTCAAATAAAAAATATATTCTTTGCCTGTATACCCTCGAGCATGGTATGCTTCTGATTCATGTAATCAGCCATTGCTTCTGATGCCATGACCACACACAGAACATGCCTCCATTTACTCCTGCATGAACACGACAGCAACTTAAGGCTCATGAAACCCCCATATCTGGAAACAATGATATCAAATCTCAAATTATGCTACTAGGCCTAACTTAAATTAGACTATATCACAATGTTGTACGAAAGCCAATTTCAAGCGAACATTGTTTTAAAAAAATGCAGTATTCCATATACATTCATGTAAAACTGCTTGGACTTTTAACGGATAGCTCTGTGGTACTGTGGTATTACCACCAAAGTCGTCATGAGGGGGTGTTTCTACAATTTAGAGCAAAGAACACTCTTTATTAGGGTGGAATTCACTCATTAAATAACTGATATTTTCGAGCATTACTTAGATGAGTAAACTTACTGGATCCTGTAAATGAGACGTGGAAAATTGCATGGGAAATTGTTTCAGAAGGCGTGTTGAATAAAGGTGATGGTATTTTTTTACAACGTTTTACCTAATGAATTGTCAGAAATATGTCAATAAAAGTAAATAAACGTTCACATTTTCAAAATATTAATAGCCACCAACTAGTGTAGTGCTACTGATTTTGTACATTTATGGAAGATTGTTGACAACGTGTATCTATTTAATACACGTTTCAACAGAATATTTTATATTATAATGATGACTTTGATTAGAAAGAATGTTCTACAGTAGTCGGCAAGTATTTATATGCAGACAAACTGTCAAGCGGTTGAAATAAATTTCTGAGCAAACGTTGCTTTGCACGTCTCAATATTCATATAACTATCAGGTTGGCCATATTGCATGATCTTGTTTTTTCTAAAGGAGACATAAAAAGTCACCTACAATGTATATTTGGCAATTACATTGTTAAAACAAGAGAATAAATAACATCTCAGTGTTTCAGTTTGCGTTGTTGTTAGTCAACGTTACGATTGTACGAAGATATTTGCATTTTTTTTCATAAACCACCTAATCTTTCAATGTAAATTTCACATACTTCCAAAGTGTGGACATTAAAAAAATGATGAACACGTATAACATTCAATGGTTTATCCATACATAGTCCTGTATTGGATATATGCGTTCTCTAAGAACGGATGTACATATGCAAGCGTTATCATAATGGTTTGTGCTAATTCACATGTGATATAGCTGAAGATTGCATGATTGTGCAGTGTACGTAAAATGACAATGTTATATTAAATGTTTAAAAGTACTTATTTAAATCCTGTCAGCACTGACGTTCCATATGTGCCAGCCAATCGTGTAATTAGAGAGATAGATGAATATATATTCAAGAAATAATTTGGGAGCGGTGTATGTTCATAATGGCCAAGTTACGTTAAATGTATTTAAGGGAGCTTGGATGGATATTTGCCAAATCCACTTCAAGTCCATCCCTTTGAACACTAATTATGTCAATAACACAGGCCTTCAAAGAATATTGTTTACATTTCTGAAGTTTATTTTCATAAAGCATAGGTAAATTAATTTCTTGTAACATATACGTGCGTTTTAAAATGCTGTTTGTCGTGATATCTTCGGAATATGTGCTTCAAATATTTACATTAATTTTATCTTGTTTGTTTCTCTTGCAGTTAAGAAAGCAAAACTCCAAGGACCAGCAGGTCAGTGAGTCAACCCTTGAATAAAATGTCAAGATAGTCACAACAATATTGCTATTTGTGCTTTGGCATGCACTTCCACTATCTCTAACTATGTGAGGTGGAGGTGGGGTGGCAGCAATTGCTACGGATGACATAATTAGGACAAGGGAAGTTGTCTGTCGGGGAACAAGCTCAATAACTCCTGAGTCATGTTTTATTTGTACTCAGATTGTAAATGTTGTGGCTCTCCAACACACCGGTCTGCTGTACTAGTGAAGTGGGTTCTCCGGGGGCACACACTTGAACTTGGAGGCAACACGTTTATTAAATAACCCCAACAGGGTAACGATATAACGTAACAACGGTTAACTATACCACGACGGGGTAACTACAGAACTGGGTCAGTGAGCCAACACACTGCCTGACCCATGATGCCGAACGTGATGACCGAAGATCGAGGATCTAAGAGACGTAGCACCGACGGGTTCCATTCCAGCAGACAGCCGCGATTGCTCTCGGGACTTCCCTTTTAAGCTCCCGAGAGGCGTGGCCTCGCCCCGCCTTCGGCCACGTCCCCTTCTGGATCTTACCAGAAGGTTCTCGACCGAGCATCACGTGTCACTCAAGCCACCCTTTGGGCCCCCTCGCTACCCTGTCCCGGTCACGTGCCCTTTCGGGTTCATCCAGACTGTCACGTTCCTACTTGCCCTCTCTCTGACCATCACCACAGCCATGCCGTCTAGGGCCTGCTTCCATGCCATACTCACTCTGGTGCCAGAGAGAGGCCCAAGACGCACAGTTCAACGCTATAGTGACTTCATTTACGTCACTACACTAGTGACGAATTGGCATGTTCTGTTTATGTGACAACCCTTACTAGTTGGCTGTGTCGGTGGTGGTGGGTTTAACGACACATTTATATATTTACGCGATCTAACCCAAAAAAAAAACCTCTTATGGATGATATTGGTCGCGAAAGCCTACATGTTAAATTGATTTATTTGATAGGTTTTATTCTGGGGTATGGGTTACAAATGTGTAACATGCCAGTAACATACACCTGATAAATTGCATTCATTATTACACTTTGTAGTCAGCAGTGTTACTCGTGCATGGATCTGTAATCATGTAACTTTCCTACATATAAACTGTTGTTATTCACAAATGCGTTGAGGTTTTTTCACGTAGTTTATATATGTTCTTTATGTTTGCAAATATAGGGGATTGTTTGTAACCGTAGAATGGTGTGGATATTTGGAATTGTAAATTTAGTAAATTATACTAAACGCAGTGTCTTAACAGCATCAGCTCTTCCTAAACTATTTTTAAATTAACCTAATTTTAACACAACACAACCAGCGAGCCTCGGTGTGAAACAGCAACATATCATACCCCATGTCTTTACATAGTTTTGCAAACAGATGTGCACGTAGTGGACAGGGTTTAAAGTATCTTCTTGGTTCTTTCGGTAAAGTCACGTAGAAGGGAAGTAATAAAATAATACAAATAAAACATAATAAAACAATTCTCACGACGTTTCGGCCACAACGCAAGCAGCCGTCCTCAGGTGAAAACCAGGTCCGTCGAGGCGACAGAGTCTGAATGAAACAGCACACGAGCTTGGAGCATATATATAAGCTGGGCGCATTGACAAAGGAATTTGCATATCAAAAGGAATTTAGCATATTTATGGGAAATGCAGGAATGTGATTAGTACTGCATATGCATGTGCATTATGCAGGATTAACAGCATCAAAGGGAGCTGCAGTTACTGCTGCTGCAGCAGTTGCTGCTGCTGCTGCAGTTTCTGCAGTTTCTGCAGCAGCAGCAGCAACTGCAGCAGCAGCAGTAACTGCAGCTCCCTTTGATGCTGTTAATCCTGCATAATGCACATGCATATGCAGTACTAATCACATTCCTGCATTTCCCATAAATATGCTAAATTCCTTTTGATATGCAAATTCCTTTGTCAATGCGCCCAGCTTATATATATGCTCCAAGCTCGTGTGCTGTTTCATTCAGACTCTGTCGCCTCGACGGACCTGGTTTTCACCTGAGGACGGCTGCTTGCGTTGTGGCCGAAACGTCGTGAGAATTGTTTTATTATGTTTTATTTTTATTATTTTATTACTTCCCTTCTACGTGACTTTACCGAAAGAACCAAGAAGATGAATCCCTGCAGTCACGAAAGCTTTAAATAGGGTTTAAAGTAGTTCACAATCACCTCGTTCTGCACTGAGTTATTTAGCTGCCAGTTGGTGCACAGTTCTGGTTTGTGTCCTGCCATAGATGCAGCACCATCTGACATTAGCCAATAGTGACAATCCAAGGAATCGTATTGCCTTCTATGTAGCCACACACCACACTGAAGATTCATTGAGTGCTTTCGTGTTTGGGGAGTGTAAGACGAAACAGAATGTCCTTAAGTATAGCATCCTCCCGAAATGTAACACACAAAAGCCAATGTGTGTGCCATGTTAATTTGAAGAGCATAAGCAGTGGTGCTTGACAGGTGTTGAACTAGTGTTTGTTCCTGATCACATGCTATAACCTTATTATTTATTTTACAGTGTTGTTTGACGGTGTGATATATTTCAATTGATATATTTCCACTTCCCTAGACATTATTTTCACAGTGTCAATTTCAGTGGGTAAAATGAAACTTTCTGCGATTGTTTGGGACTTTTAGGCTGAACATTTCGGTAGCTCACCTAAAAAATATGCTCTTTGAGCTTGCTCAGAGCCACACAGTCCCTTTTAAAATGCACCTCCTAACACGACAGCTCCTCTTTTTGCACTAACAATATGACTTAGCCCTTCCCCACTTGTTCTTTGTGAACAATTTGCAAGTGCCGGTTCAGTTGATTTGGTTAATACTCACACACCAAACATACGTATGGCAAAACATGCAAAGAAACATGCTCTGATAACTATGTGCATTGTATTTTAAACTGATTGGCCTACACCAGAGACAGCCTTCTTGTCTCACCACCGGTGTTAGACCAGATAACGCCAAAAGGCAAACAGTGCTAAGAAAATGCAACTAGCAGAGCTTTTACAGCTCGGGTCGAGCAGCTATAGCTATGGTACCTATTTGCCAATATAAAAAATATGAAAAATAATAATAGGTTTTACCCTTTCTGGCAAAAAAACTGTTGATAAGATGTTCAAACACCAAATAGATGCCTTTTGCACGGCATCACGTCTGCATTAAACCACACATACTTGTGGAAAAACATGCACACAAACATGCTCTGATAATGTATGCATTGTCTTTGAACATCTATACACCTATTTTATTGCCAGAAAGGGTAAAACCTATTCTTATATTTCATAATCTCATCGCTCCATCTCTATAATGGTTATCTTCGGCACATTTTCTTCATCCCACTGTTCAATCCAACATCTGTGCTCATGCACAGCTGGAGACCGAGGACGTGCAGGTCAGAGATTATCATCACCTATCAGCATTATCGCCACCATCATTACCACCATTCCAATCATTATCAATATCTATATCATAAGCAGCAGCAGCAGATATTGCCTATGTACTGCTGCATTAAGGTATCCTCACACCGTCACAATCTGCCATGGTCCTACAATACTACAATCCACCTTACTCTAGTACATGAACTGATCTCGTGGCATATTTATAGTGATTGTTCCTCACTCCACGCAGTGAAAATGCTGTGCAATTGCACACCAGGATAGTGAGGCTGCGGCTCATGGGAGATCGTGCCCAAGCTCAACAGGACACAGTCCAGCAATTACACACATCAGTGGTACCATCATCATCATCAATCAGCAGCAGAAGGATAGTATGGATATTAGGGGGCGGGGGGATTTATCAGTGCTTGCAGAACTTTTCTTAGTCTTTAAATTAGTAATTCCCTGCAGGATATGGATACTCTGTGCAGAGAAGGCTTTTAAAATGGGCACTCAGTGCCCATCTCAGAGAATAATATGGAAATGTTGTGTGTTGTGTAGAAGATGTGTATGATTTAGTTTTGTGTATTTTTGTGTATGATGTATGTATTTTTGTATTCATAATATTTAGTGAAAGGCCTCCTAACCACAGACTTCATATTCATGACTCTTTCTATTATCTTAGGATTGGCTCTTCCTATTCTCTGCCTTTTTGTAGATAAGAAGATGGGTCCAGGAACATTTTTTTTAGTAAGGATGAGATAGAATTGCAACTCTGATCTCATATGCTGTGTCCCACAGATGAGATGAATATCGATATTAAAACCGTACTCTTTTCTGGAGGATATATAATATGAGGAAGTCCATAGAAGGTCCCGAAGATTTGATTCAGCCATAATACGAGCCTAAATCTTGTCCATAATTACCACATTTCATGTGTTCAAAACATTTTAATGGCTAGAGACAGAATCTCAAACTCCTGAGGTTGACACGTGCCTGGAATATGACTGAAACAAATTGAAATGTAAGTGAAATCAAATTAAGTGAAACAAAATCTAGTAAAGCACATTAAAATTGCATCTGCAAACAGCTATGCTCAAGTTGAATAAATGCATATTGGAGGAAACTAAAAGAAAATGGAATAAATTACGACATACACTAAAAACTAAGAAAACTAAAATCAAATACAGGAGGATGGAATAACATTCACGAGTAGCTGCCACAAGATTTAAGCCACTCAAGTAAACCACGAGGAGCCTCATGAAATTGATCAGACATCCAAGAAAACCAAATGAGGGCATACCAACTAACCAGTTAGAAGGGGCTACAATCAACTTCGCCTTGAACTCTAGGGGCTAACCGAAGAAGACAAAGGCTCTGCAATCCACCACTCCACCCGCACAGATCAGAACAAGCTTAACTAGAGACTGTTGGGATCAGATCAAACAGCAATTCACATACAATCTAGAAGCTGGTATGCATGTTTTTGAAACGTGAGCACTGGTTCATATATGTTCAGGTAAACTTGCGTTGTTCAGAGTACAAAAAATAAATAAAGCAATGCCCTCGCTCCCCACAGTTTTGTCATCCACGGT